GACCTCTCTCTTTTGTGTCTGGTTGCTTTCTCATGTTGTTTGGTAGAGGTGCCCATAGCATTCTAGGTGGATATCAGCTGAATCAAGGAATAGAGCTAGATGGTCTGAGTCTCTGTCAAACTTTCCCCTGAATTCTGGGTGGGTTTAGAGCCCTACTCCTCCAACCTCCTGTCGGCTGCTGTATGCTTGCGCCTGATATGGCTGGTCATTTTCTTCACCCCTAGTTTGGAGAGAGGGAAGGGATTGCCTGCTGCATGGGAGAGGCACTGGTTGCTGTTTTGGGCTCCTTCTCCTTGTATCGAGTGGGGGAGTGGGGCTGCGCTCCAGTCTGCATCTCCTCCCTTCAACAGGATCAGATGTCCCTCCCCTCTCTTTTGGGTTGCATGATGGCCCCTCATCATGAAGGGTGGCCCGGTCAAAATCCTCCCTCAGTTGCTCTATTGCACTCCCCAGGGATTCCATCTGGGGCTTTGGGAGCCTGGCTTGTGGCCATTCCCACATCCAGTCCACCCTTGCCAGTTCGCTTGAGACCCTTCCCTTTATCTGGGAATTGGGGTAAGGGAACTCAACTTCAGCTGCTTTAGGGGCTAACTTCCACCAGTACTCATCCTTTCTTGCTTCTGCCACTAGGAAAGGCATCGCAGCTTGAAAGTCTGGAGCCCTGATGTTGAGGGCTGGCTGAACCCCTCCAGCTGAAATCTTTCTACCAAAATAACTGGAAGTGACTGGACAGCCCGGGATTCAGGAAGCCCGGAAATCTTGATAGATTTTAAAAGTCACTTTCGGCTGTCTGTGAAGTTCCCAAGAAATGACCTAATAAATTTATGAGCCTCAAGACAAAGTTCAAAAAAACCCATTCATTTATTAGGATCAACATCTTGGCATGAATTTCTGTGGAGCCGAAACTAAATTCCACTTAATGGCATCTGAACTTTACCCCTGTGTCCCCTCCCCTCTGCCTGAAGTCATTAATCACATTCACCAACAAGATATTATGGCAGACATGCGCATTCGCAGGCCAGCTGCAAAGAATATGAGACTTGACGGGCCAAAATATGCATGGAATTCTCCTCCCTTCCCGAATTGATAGTAGCCATGGAAACGCTTTACATGTTGACAACCACCTTGTAGAATTGGGTTCCACCACAAAACCGCGATGCCCTTATCCGCGCATAAGTGCGGAGGCAAATCCGCAGCGTCCGAAGCGCTAAGAAAAAAACGACCCTACTGCCGCGACAACAGCGCGGTGACAGAAGGGCGTTCTACATGCTTCGTTCTTTGCCTCCAAAGNTTGGAGAGCCCGGGATTCAGGAAACCCGGAAATCTTGATAGATTTTAAAAGTCAGTTTCAGCTCTCTGTGAAGTTTCCAAAAGATGACTTAATTAATTTACGAGCCTCGAGACAAAGTTCAGAAGAAATCCATTTATTTATTAGGATCAACATTTTGGCATGTTCTTCTGCAGAGCCAAAACTGATATCTGGTTAATGGACTTTGCACTTTACCCCTGTGTCTCCCCTCAATCTGCGTCATAAATCATATCCACCAACAAGATGCTGCAGCAGGCTGTGAACTTTGCACCCCACATGCTGGCTGTAGAAATATGGGATCTGACTCTAGCCGAAGGTATGCATGGAATTCTCCCTCCAATGTCAACTTGATAATAATCATGGTAACACTTTACAAGTTGACACACGGATTGTATTAGCTTTTTTGGCTGCTGCCATACATTACTGCAGACTCATGTTTAAGTGATCGTCCACAAGGACTCCGTGTTCCCTCTCAGACTTACTGTTTTTGAGCCAGGTTTCACCTACTCTGTACTTGTGTCTTTGGTCCTGCCCATGTGTAAAACCTTGCTTTTCTCAACATTAAATTTCATTTTGTTGGATAGGGCGCATTGTTCAAGTTTGTCAAGATCATCCTGAACTTGTCTTCTGGGGTGTTGGCTATTCCTGCCAGCTTAGTGTCTTCTGCAAATTTGATGAGTTCCCCTTCCCCCTCATCTAAGTCATTTATGAAGCTATTGCGGAGTACTGGGTCTAAGAGTGAACGTTGTAGTACCCCATGCTTACTTCCCTCCATGTAGATGTAGTACCATTAAGGACTACTCATTGAGTACAATTTGTCAGCCAGTTACAAATCCATCTGGTGGTGATGTTGTTTATTCCACATTTTTCTAGTTTACCAAGAAGTAGTTTGTGGTCTACTTTGTCAAATGCCTTGCTGAAGTCTAAATATATTATGTCCACAGCATTTTGCTAGTCTATTAATTTAATCACTTTATCAAAGAATGAAATAAGATTGCTTTGGCATGATCTGTTTTTTTAAAAACCTGTGCTGGCTAGTTGTTAGAACTTTATTTGTTTCTAGATGTTCACATATCTGTTTATTGGTTTTTTTCCCCCCAGTATCTTTCTTGGTATTGATGTTAGGTTGGTGTGTAGTATCCTGTGCCTGTTTTATTTTCCTCTTTTTTGAAGATGGGAACCACATCAATAATTATTTTCCAATCCTCTGGTAGTTTCCTGGTGCTCCAAGATTTTTTAAAAATATAACAGTGGTTCTGAGATAACATCTGCCATCTCCTTCATATTTCTGGGATGTAATCCATCAGGTCCTAGTGATTTATATTTCATTAAGATCAGATGGGTGTTCTCTAACTATTTTCTTGTTTATTTTAATTTTTATTTCTAGTCTGTCTTTTACAGTTATGTTTTTGGTAGGTTGGACTATAGTTTCTTTTTGTGTGAAGACTGATGCAAAAAATGAGTTAAGCAGCTCTGCTTTCTTTCTACTGCCTGTTACTTCCTTGCCATCTTCTCTCTTTAATGGACCAACTGTTTCCTTGACTTTTTTCCTTGTTATTTATATGTTGAAAGAAACTTTTTTTATTATTATCTTTGACTTTTGTTGCAAGTCTTTGTTCATTCCGAGCCTTTGCTTTCCTAACTTCATCTTTTCAGATTTGGATTGCCTGCTGATATTCTGCCTTATTTCCTCTTTCCAGTTTTTTGTACTTACCCTTTTTTGTTTTTCTGTTTATCAGAGAGATCTTTGTGCAACAATGCTGGTTTCTTCTTGGATCTCTTTTTTTTCTTTTTCAGTGGTATTGTTGTAGACTGGGCTTTAATGAACATATATTTCAGTGTTTTCCATGCTCCTTGAGTTGTTTTCCCTTTTAGGATTTTTATCCATGATGTTTTGCTTAGGCTGTCTCTGAGTTTGTGAAAATCAGTTTTTTTTAAAGTTTAAGACACTGGTTGGATTATTTTCTATTGCTTGTATTTGCATTTAATTGAATTCCAGTATGATGTGATCACTCGCCCAAATTTCTGACAACTTCAACTCCCTCTATCATTTGTTCTGTGCTAGTAAGAATTAGGTCTAGTATAGTTTTTCCTCTAGTTTCTTCCTCTACCTTTTAGATCACAAAGATGTCAGCTAAGTTGGTTAGGAATCTGTTCGATCTCCCAGTTGATATCAGGGTGGTTAAAGTCTCCCACATGCTACTGTGGTACGTTTCCTTCATACATTTGTTAATTGATTAGCAAAGAGTTCATCTATTTCTTTGGCTTGGCTGGGTGGTCTGTATTAAAATTACTTCAATGGATCTAAGAGATAATTAAGTTTCACACATATATACTCAAAGCAAGCTTCATTTGTTAATGAACTCGGGCTGAGGGAAAGCAAAAAATAAAGCTGAATATTTCAGCTTTAACTAAACTTTAGTTAACTTTAACTTTTTCTTCAAGTAAACCTGGCTGTAATAGAATCTTGAAAACCTATTTGATTTTGAT